AAGGCGGAGAGCACGAAGTTGTACGCGCGGTCCCGCTTGCGCGACACGTTCTTCTTTTGGCACATCCGGTGCGACCCGCCGAGCCAGCGCTCGGAGAAGCCGTACTGCAGCTCGTGGAGGAAGCCGTCGGCGCCCGCCATGAAGACGCGGCCGCACGGCGTGTGCGCCATCGCCACGAAGTTGACGCCTACGGGGAAGGGCACGAGCCGGCTCACGGAACTGTCTCGCGCCAGCAAGCCCAGCCAAGCCAGCCGAGTCGCCGTCGGACGGGACGGCGAAGCCGGTCTCGTGGATGTCGATCGTCGAGTCCTCCGCGCCTACGGCCGTCCCGCCGCGGGGTGACCGGACCCCTCCCTCCCCTCGCCCCTCCCTCGCCCCTCCGTCTCTGCTGCCTGCGGGTCCGGTCGGGTAGACGGCGAGCACCACCACCTCTGAGGGCGTCGAGAGGAGGAGGAGGTGGCGCGGCGTCGCCTCGGCCGCAAAGACGCCTGGCTTGCAGGGCACCAGCGCCGCGTTGATGATCGTCTGCTCGAGCCCGTCGTACCTGCAAGCCACCGCCCACCCAGGGCGCGGCGTGAGCCGCGCTGTGCCGCCGCCGGCAGAGCGGGAGGGCAGGGCACGCACTGGTAAAAGCTTCCCGACGGGTGGTTGTAGTCCCAGAGGAAGAGCATGTGGTCGATGGTGAGCCACGCGCGGTGGATCTCGGGGAAGAGGCCGACGAACCTGCGCGCGGGCCGGCCGCTAGCCTCGACCCGGCGATGTGTGGCTCGAGGCATCGCGGGGCGGCGCACATGTGATACTCGAGCTGCTCGGTCGCAGCTTGCTTGAGCGCAGCGGGCATCGGCGCGAAGCCACCCGGCGCCTCCATAAACTGAGGCTGCTTGTGCAGGGGCAGTTCCGCGTCGCACGGCTCGAACAGGCCCTCGTTGGCGCGCGCCTGCTTCAGGAGCCGGTTGTACAGGTCCGTCTCGTCCTTGACCTTTGCATCGCGCTGAATCAGCTTGGCGATCTGCTCGCGCGCCGCCTCGAGGCGCCCTTTGGTCTTGTCGGTGAGAGGCGGCATCAGGGGATGACAAACCGAAGGTGAGCTGAGCTGCCCGCAAAAGCCTCTTTCTCGCCGGCTACCGCAACGTCGTGCCTCCGGCGCGCACAGCGCGTTTCTTTTTCTGGAGCCTCTTCAAAGAGCCAGCTTCTCTTTGCACTCCCCACACCCCACACACATCCGTCCTCTTGCGCCCCCCCGCGGCCAGTTCGAGCCCACACACCGGGCCCCATGGAAGCAGGTCGTGCAGCCACAGATCGCCGCGCTGCCGCCACTTAGTCCGGAGTGTAGCACGAATCGTCCGGCGGCAGTGGCTGCGCGAGTAGCCACGGCCGTCCGACCTCGTCTGCCCACGTCTCGACATAGGGCGGCGGGCTTGGCGGGTGCACGAAGAGACTGACGAACCAAGAGACGATGGAGATGACGATGCCAACCACCATTGCCACCTGCAAGGCGGGAGGGAGGTTCACTGGGTCGTGGGAGAAGCGCTGCCAAGTCACTGAGCCGCGCCTGCCCTAGGACTGGAATCCAGTCCGCAGCTTCGAGGGCGTCGCCAACAACTCCGGCGACGCGCGACACGACCCATGTGGAGCGCGCCGCGGCCTGGGTGATCGTCGACGTGAGGCGGGTCGCCATGGTCACAAGCATGACGCCGTTCGAGATCTCGTTCAAGATGCTGAGCGTCGCGATGGCGTCTTCGCCTAAGACCGATAAGCCAAGTGGCTGAGCTCTGCCCCCTCCCTTCCCCGTCCCGCGCACCGCACTCCACCAGCGCATCTATGGTGAGGCGACGCAAGGCACGACAACGCATCTACAGACTTCACCGTGGGCGATCTCGTGCTGAATTTGGAAGCCTGTCGTCACGCAGCCAGCCAAGATTGCGACAGCCTGAGTCACCTGGGCGATTTCGCTCGTCACGTGAGCGATCCGCGTCCACTTCTCCGCTGACCCGCTTAGCAGCGCGGCGACGGGCTTCTCGAGGTCTACGGCGCGATCCAAGTCCGTCGCGGCTGCCTTGGCACCCAAGCTAATGATCGGCATCTTGAGCGCCTTTGCCTGCCTCTCGATCCCCGCGAATGCCAACCCCGCCACACGCGCTTTTCTCACCATGTTCGTGTAGGGGTTTATCTGCCAGGTATCACCGCGTGTAGGGGTCTGCCAAATCGCGTTCAGGTTTTTGGTGACCTCGAGCAGACCATCCGCATCGGCCTGTGCCTGGCCGATCTTTACAAAAGCCTCAAAGTTCGCTCCGCTGTTGAGGAGGTGGGTCACAACATCGATGGTCGTAGCAACAGTGTCGACCTAGGATGCAGGCTCGTGTGGTGGTGTATACAAGGCGAATCAGAGGTGTGCTAGAGCGTGCGGCGGACCTGGTTGTACGGTGCCTGCAGGTTCCAATCCAGGTAATGACCCCCCAATACGACCCGCCAGGCTCGTCACCGCCGTGATCGAGCTCGTCTGGCATACAAAAGAGGGCGACATGCCGGTCGCGACGGGACCTGTCAGCTTTGGCCAGGCCAGCGCCATGCAGTCAAAATAGTGTAGAGGCTAGAGGTGTGAGTGTTAGAGTTGTTTAGAGGTGTGTTCTTTGCACACCACACACAATCGCAAACAAAAAACACACACTACCTGTCCTAACCTGAGCTTTATACGGGGGGGAGCCTTGGTGGGGGCGTCACAGATGAATGATTCCGCTTTCCTTATCCGGTTCGCTAGTGTGGTGGCGATCCAGCAAGAACATGATGTGTGGCGGCGACGTGTGCTAGTCCTTGACAACAGCTATAGGAGCGTACCGCCACGTGCTTGGTCCTTCAACTCGTCGCAAGTTGTGGTGTCGTGCGTCCTCGTCGACCCTCCTCTCGTCGCTCCTCTGTCGACATGCTGTACACTGTGGCCAAGACGTGCGCTCTCGTGACGGTCATCAGCGCGGCGCCGATCCCCGCGGACCACGGCCGCGAGCTCGCCGGCTGGGCCGACTACGCTAAGCAAGGCGTTGCCACCGGGCTTGCCTATGCCAACGCAGGCGTGTCGGGCCAGGGCTCGTTCTCGGACCTCAACGCGCAGACCGCAGACGCGTTCAACGCCCTCAACCACGATGGCGAGACCACGACATCCTCGCCCATGCCGAGCCTCGACACCGCCGTGGTCAACGAGCCGCTGCCGGCCAGCCTCGACCCCGCCACAGTCAGCTGGAAGGACTACATGCAGCAGGGCATCGAGACGGGAATCAAGTTTGCGGCCGCGGGCGCCGGCGTCGCCACCGGCGAGACCGACCCGTCGGCCGACTTTGGCGACCTTGTGGCGCAGACGACCGACGACTTTGGCGCTCTGAACCACGCGCGGGATGTTGTGGCCGAGCCGGCCAGCGGCGAGGACATCGACCCCTTCAGCAGCGCGCGCCCCCCTCTCTCCCCGTCGCCGACTCCCTCTGACGAGGCAAGGCCCTACCTCTCGCCCTCGCCGCCTCCCTCCTCGCCGCCACCGCCAGAGTGCGAGCTGCCGGGCTGCGAGCGGTGGACCTGCTGGTTGACCAAGCCTTTGTGGCCTTGCCCTCCCCTCGGCCCGTGGCCGCAGCCACCGTGCTGCAGCAGCGAGGTGGCCACCGAAGAGACCAAGTTTGTGCCCCGCACCGGGCGATCCGTCGACCCCGGCTTCAACGGCGGCAGCAACAGTGACCACACCTCGTCGCCGCCGCCGCCCTCCCCCTCGCCGCCGCCGCCTCCGCCGTCGCCCTCGCCGCCTCCTCCGCCGCCCTCGCCCTCGCCGCCGCCGCCGCAGCCGGAGGACAACTGGTCGATCCAAGAGGTTGACGGCAAGAAGTGCGGCTCGCCAGACATTGCTGAGAAGCTCGAGCTGCCGTTGGACAGGCCATCGACCTGCAAGCAGACGTGCCTCAACTACGCCAACGACCAGTTCCCCTCTTATCGCAAGAGGGACTTTTGCTGCCAGTACAAGCCCGGCAAATGCCAGATATCGGAGCCTACCTACGACCGCATGCTCCCCGAGGCTTCGTCGAAGCACACCGCGTTCTTCTTCCAGTGGAACTGAGCACGGCGCAACGCGCGCAAGATGGGCTGTAGAGCAGACGCGCTGCCTGCGCGGCGCCGCCCCCCGTGCCTCCATGGACGCCAGCTTCGACGCCGCCATCGCACATGGACCTCACTGCGCGCCGCACCTCACTGCGCGCCGCGACTGCAGCTAGCCCACGCGGTTCGCGCACTTTCTCGGTCTCTCTCGCCCGCTCGCCCCCTGCGAGAGCCCTATCATTATTATCAATATTATGGTGCTTGGGTGTGGACCCGCCGGTGTTGTGCTCGAATCCCGGTGACCCGGTCGGTGTTCGTGTTGGCTTATGTATCGTGTACGTTCGTTGTTCATTAGTTCATAATGTCATCAATTCCACACAGCAGGCACACCACACACGCGCTCAACTCAATATCGCACTCCACTACGTGGGCGCGCGGAGAAAGTCAGAGCTCAGGCGGGAGAGAGAGGGCCCAGCGGAGATGGTGGAGATGGTGGAGATGGTGGAGATGGTGGAGAAATCTGAGTTCGGAGTCCGAGCCACGCGTCTTTTGGGTTTCCTCCCTTTTCCGCGACGCGGCTCCCGAGTTCGTTTGATCACCAACTCATTGTATTATGCTGCAAATTGGCAACAATTATTGACACTCAAATTGCGGGAGCAACCATTCTTTTTTTCATCACCGACCCCCGACGTGGCCGGGTGCAATCAGTCTGCAATCACCATCACGCACCACCAATCCATACTGGGACGTACGCACACTCCCCTGGGAAAAAGAAACACACTGAAAGAAGAAATCCAGGATCCCCTACCTTCACACTGGTGTGAATACGTCCCGAACCCGTACTCGGGACCCATAGCATTCATCTCACATATCGGAGAAGGCCGAGGATCAGCCCCACCAGTTGTTGGAGGCCGGCGCCGAAGGCGGCGGCAGCGAAGGAGGGGGCCCGGGCGGTGGTCTGGGTGGCGGCGGCGATGCCGGCGGCAACGGCGGCGACTGCGGTGGCGGCAGCGGCGGTGGATCCGACGTGAAAATCTGTGCGCTGACAGTGCCAGCCACGGTGGCTCCGAAGCCGATGGGCGGCCCAAAGTGTGGCCAAGGCGACCCTATTTAAGGTCCCTTGGGAAAATAAACCGCCAGTTGGGAAGGGACCATATGTGGTCCCCCCCCAAGAAGGACCAAAACCTCCTTTTGAGACCCCGAACCTCGGGGCCCCCACGACCTTTTTCGGGGGCCC